ATTGTACAGATAATTTCTCAAATATTTGAATATTTAAGTACATGATTGCAATCGTTTAGGCTAAATTTACTCAATAAGTATGATGAAATTTTTCATCATGAGACTTAAATGCTTAATTACTTTATGATCTTAATATAGCCTTAAAAAATGTAAAATCCATCATAAGACAGTCACTTGTCCAGTCAAAAAATTTGCTTTTGATGCTTTCATCCAAAAAGTAAATATACAACAAAGTAAATTTATTCTAATACTTGTAACAAGATGGTCTTTGCGCCAGCTTCCTTAGAAAGGTTAATGGCTTACATGGGAGTATTTAGCTCTAATCAATAAAAAATAATCTAATTTCACTGCATATAAAATAGAATTCACAAATTGTTTTAGGGCTGCTCAAACTAAACTTTAAGTATATAAATGATATTCATGATTTAGAATGCAAAATTTTATATTCTATTCATCAGAAAGAATCCTGGCTTATTAGCTTTGAATAATCACTGCCATTTACTTATTGAGTACTCATGTATAAGTCCATCCAAATTCCTTCAAGGCAACTAGATCTTCCTCGTTTATAAAATATAAACACGAATCTTACCACGTGATGTTTGCATCACACCGATACCTCAAGCCCTATAAGATGGAATTTGTCAGTGTTTTCGGTAATATTTAAGATAACTTCTACAAAACTATAAAACTAAAAAATTACAAAGTTGCCAAGCCTGATATATTGCGAAATAATATTTAAATCTTGAAGCACTAAAATGGTCAGGTCACCACACTTCAATATTAAGGCTTCTTTAAAAATGTCCAAGAATTAGTAAAAGTAATTAAGCATCGTATTGCAACTCAACCTCGGAGCACATAGTTCTGCTCAAAAAAATATGGGCATTGTTTACCTTTGACAAGTAATCTATTACAGTATCATAACCAGAAGGTTGGTAATGTGAAATGTTAGCAATGATACTGATTAGTTTTATGGAGTTTCCTGAGCATCTTCGGGGTTCGTTATATGTATAAGTGGATTTTAAACCTTTGCAGTACTTTTTAAGTGTACGACTCCAGTAATACTCGATGCTTAGAGGAAAAGTATGAGGTGTATGCTAGATACCTGATCATACATCATTTGAACATTGTTCTCTTTGCCTATCCTGTAATAATCGTAGTCCAACACTAAGCATTTTCAAAGTTGGCCAATGAATCGAACTAAACGCCGTCCTTAACAGCTCATTTATAATAATTACCGAATGATAATGTCCATCAACTAGGCCTACTTCTATTTCCAAATGCTAATGAAACCGGGGGTTTACTTAGTTTAGTCTTTCATGCGGCTTCTTCTTCTCATATCCCTTATTACTAAAGGACCCTTGTAAAATAGGTACGGTGCAAGCTATTCTATGGTATACTAATGTTAGGGCCTGGCAACTTAAAGATAATTCGAAAAAACATAAATGCATTAAATGAAGGAAAACAAGAATGGTAAAATAAAAAAAATTACTGAATTCTATCATAGCAATTTACTCAGAAAAATAATAAAGAATCAAAGGTATCTCTTAGTTTTAG